ACTACTACTACTACGACTACTACTACTACTACTACCTCCTACCTACTACTACTACTACTACTGCTACTACTACTACTACTACTACTACTACTACTACTACTTCTACGACTAGGACTACGACTACTACTCCTACTACTGCTAACACCTCCTGCTGCCATGAATACGGCGACGTCTGCTACGACGAGCACTGCTGCTACTACTGCTACTGCTACTGCCGCTGCTGCTGCTCATCCCCCACAATTGCCTCTACTTGCCCTTGGTCCTACGTCGTCGTCCTTTCCCTTCTTCCCCTCCTTCTTCCTCCGACCTCTTCCTCACCCTTCCCGACCCCTCCCTCGCAGCCGTCGAGTCCGCGGTGGTGGCCGACTTCGTCCTCGTCGTCGTCGTCTTCGTCGTCCTCGTCCTCGTCGGCGACGTGTCCTCGTCGTCGTGGGTGCCCTGCGGCTGTCGTCGCCTCCTCCTCCCCCTCCCCCTCCTCCTCCTCCTCCTCCTCCTCCTCCTCCTCCTCCTCCTCCTCCTCCTCCTCCTGCCCCACCACCTCGCCCTCGTCGTCCTCGCCGCCCTCGCCCTCGTCGATCGGGCCGCCGAGGGCGGCGCGCGCTCCCAGAACTTCGGCGTGCCCGGGAGCAGGTCGAGGCCCAGGAACTGCAGCAGCGGCGCCCTCCCCGGTGCCCCCCCAGCTGCGGCCGTCGCGCGCGAGGGTCGAGGAGGAGGAGCAGGAGGAGGAGCAGGAGCAGGAGCAGGAGGAGGAGGAGCAGGAGGAGGAGGAGGAGGAGGGGGAGGAGGAGCTCCTCTTCCTCCTCCTCGGGCCCCCGGAACTGCAGCAGCTGCGGCGTTCGCGCTCGAGGGTCGAGGCTCCAGGTCTTGGGGATGTTCGTGTCGGGGCAGCGCGAGAGGAGGGGCACAGTCGGCCTCGATTGGACAGGACACGCGAGGGGACACAGGACCCTTCCGAGGGCCACGTTGCCATGGGGGATGCAGGAGGCACGGGTCGACCCACTATATCAGGGCCGACTGCATGGGACCTCGGCGCGGTTCGAGGAACATCGACCGCAGCGGCCCCGAAAGAAAGAAACCTGAGCATCCAGCCGGGCTCGTTTTCGGCGGCGGACACACCTCCCTTTGGCACACCTCCCCCAAAAAACACAAAAAGGAGCCCCACCTCGGGAGAGAGCCCTCCCGCCCTGGACCCCCGCCGTGGCGTGTTTTGTTCTTGCCCGCGACATCGGCCTCCGGAGACCTGCACCCCTTCCCTGGGGCCGGCTTCTCGTCCCGAGTGGTGTCCTGGGTTTGGTAGTCCCCAAACGTGGTGGTGACAACACCCGGCGGTGAGTCTCGGGCGATTTGCTGTCACCACCCGGTTTGGGGACTCGTGTGGTTTTTCGAGGATGCCCCGAACGCTGGTGGGTCCAGGAGTCAAAACACCCGGCGGTGACCCCGTGTTCCAAAACCCGGCGGTGACTTTTGGGGGATTCCAGGTCAACACCTGATATCTCACCACCTGGTTTTGGGGCTCCCAATGGGTGGCCCCGAGGCCCGGCGAGGGCCCACCCGGAGGCCGAGAGTATCAAACAGAAACTCCCGGCGTGGCTCCCTGCACGGCGCGAGGGGGGGAGGGGGCCCAGGATGTACAGGCAAGCACGCGCCGTTCATTTCTAGTCGTGCTCATTTCTAGTCGTGCTCGGTTCTGACTGTTCCTGACCCCCTAGTGGCCAGGAAGAGGCCCAGGATAGAGCAATCCGAGATGAGAGGATCTTGGCCCCCAAAAAACCAAGGAACCTTCGAAAAATCAGAAAGGAACCATGTGCACACACAAATCCCAGAATCCCCTGTGTGTTTTACTCTCTTGTGGATTCTCTTCTTCCCCCCCCCCCCCCACTTCCCATGTTTTCCAACGTGCCTTGCTCCTGGGAATCGACGACGATTCCGTGTGTCCGTGTGCTTGCACCCCTCCTGCAGGGGGGTCGGGGCCCCCCCCTGGCCCGCATGTGGGGGCCTCTCCGGGGGTCCCCGCTGCGACCCCGTGCAGGTGGGGACGCTCGCCCCGGGAGCGGCGCGGTGCTGGCCAGCCCGCGGCCGGCACAGAGGAGGGCGCGCGGCGCGGCCGCGGCGGCGGCGGCGAGGGCCCGCCGCGCGAGCGGAAGGTCGCGGCGTCTGCTGGCGCGCCGCTGCCTCCGCGGGGGCTCTCCGTTTCACGCTCCGCGCTCCGCGCGCCGCGCGGGGCGCGGTCCTGAACTCACCACCCACCAAATCACCCCAAGCCCAACCCGAAGGTCCCCAACTGTCCTCTGTCCCCAGCGGGTGGGCGTCGGGGAGCATTGAAAACAATGCGCGTGGAACCCGTGCACGCCCCCCCCCAAACTCGAAATGTGGGTCTTCGGGTTGGGCTGGCGCGGTCTGGTAGGTAGAGGCATTCGCGCCCGAGCGCCGACCCCTGGAGGAACGTAAGATCCAGCCCAAACACCCATGCGCGATGACCTCCGCGACCCGCGAATATCCCAGCTCCCGCATGCCGCCTGGTCCGGCTGCTCGGACACGGCCTGGGCCCACGGCCTGTGAGACCCGTGCGCGCGGCCTCCCACCCGCGCCTTGCCCCATCCCACCCTGCAGGGCGGGAAGGGGCTGCAGGAGGAGTCCCCGCCAAGCAAGTTGCAAGGAGCGCGAGGCAGGGTTCGCGAGGTAGGGGCGATAAAAGACACTGTGGATACGAGTGAGGGAGACGAAACGGAAAAGAATATGCACGAAATAACGAAAACGAGGACACGGAGATCCACCACGGTGCCTTCAGCACGTGGAATACCCTGAGGCTCAGACATACAGATATGGTGAGATCCAACGAGGCGGGCGGTACTGGGCGCTTCCGTTTCCGACGCGTGCCTCATTGCACTCTCGGAAGTCAAACCAGCGCAAACCGTCTTCAGCATCCCCCAAGAGCCCTCCGAGGAACGCTCAAGCATGCCTAGGAGCCCGCGATCTCTCGAAGGCCTCTTGGGCCCTCGGAGGGTCCCTGGGCGCCCGTCTAAGATGACCAAGTCAATTTTCCGTGTTCGTTTATTACTCGTTTTCACAGCGTCCCCAAGACGACCCAAGAGGCCCCCAGTACCCCAGAAGGCTCCCCAAGTCCCCGAGAAGGGCCTCGGAGGCTCCCGCGCGACCCCCAGAAGTGCCCACGAGGAGGGAAACTCGTACTGCCATGCGGAGCCTTCCACTCGCCATCGCTCGGACGTCCATTCCATGTGTTTTTGTTTCGGTTTCGTGCGTGGCTGTTTTTCGCCAAATGATCAAGGATGCTCCTCGATGGCCGTCGCCGAGAAAAACATGCACACGTCCTAGCGATGCCAAGTCCATCCCATAATGGCCTGCAAGGCAGCGAGCAGGGGTGCACGGCATGCCAGATGCCTGAACGGTTTTGGTACTTTCCAGGGGTTCCCAGTGGCGTCTTGGTCGACCGAGCTGGCCACCCAGAAGGCTGAGGAAAAAACATTAAATGACGTAGCCTCCAAGACGGCCAAGATTGCCTCAACGATGCCTCCAGAACGGCTTGCATGGTCCCAAGAGAGCCCTAGATGGCCCCAACACGCCTCCAAGACAGACCAAGATGCACCCGAGACGCCTCAAGCCTCCAGACGGCCAAAAAGCTCTCAAGACGCCCCATGGGGTCCCCAATATGACCCCCAGGAGGACAAGTCATTGAGTTTCCCAAGGTTTGCATGTTTTAGTGTTTCCGCATTTCTGGGCTTCTGACGCTCCCAAATGGCCCCCCACAAGCCCCAAAGATGGCCCCAAGAGGGGGCCAAAGAGGCCCCGAATAAACCCGCAAGACGGCCCAACAGGGCACCAAGCCAGCCAAAGAGGACGCACAGATGGCCCCATGGACCTCCAACACAGCCCTAAAACGACCATAGAAGGACCCACGACTGCCCAGAGAGGTTCCCAAGACGACGGCCTCCGAAGGCCAAGAGGTCCCTCAGAGCCCCCAAGAGGCCCCCAAGAGGCCCGCAGAGGCCCCCAAGAAGTCCCAAAGGCCCCCAAGACGCTCCCAGAAAACCTCCAGGAGGCCCCAAGAGGGCCTCACGAGGCCTCCTTTTCTTCCTCCTTCTCCTCCTCGTCGTCCTCCTGTTCCCTCTCCTCCTGTCGCATCCTCTCCCAAATGTTCCCCCTAGGGGGTTCAACAACGGCTGGGGAAGGTATCGTCCAACAGCTTGGCCAAACTGCGGCCAAATATTTGGCCGCATGGGCGCTTCCAAGATGCACAGGGCAGCGGTGATTCGCCGTAGGCTTCTTCGATCAACCGCCCCCTTTTGATTGTAGAAGGTTGCTTCGCGTGACATGCTTCCTTGAAACTAATTATCCCGCTGATTTCCCCGCCAAAATGACGTCTAAGACGATCCTAAGACGGCCTGGGTGTCTTAGGGACCTCCAAATTTGCCCAAGATGCCTCCCAAACAACCCAAGAGTGCGTCAAACTGGCCAAAGACGGCCTCAGGACTGCTCAAGCGGCCCGGAGGACGGGCCAAGAGGGTTCCAAGAGACACTCCAAACGGCCCCATACGGGCCAACATTACTGATGCCTGTTTCCCGCTTTTTCTCCGCATCGTATGTGGGGTTCTTGTTTTCTCTGGACACCCCGCGCAATCCTCCCACACCCTTTCCTCTTCGCACCCACTCCTCCTATCGTCATCACCATCACCATCGTCAACATCCTCATCATCAGGATCACCATCAGCATCAACAGCAACATCGTTACCATCAATCGTCACATTACATATCGCCACCCTTACAGGCAATCGGAACCCTGTAGATGTCGACGCGCTGGGGCCCCCGATGCCATACTATCGAAGAGGTATCGGACGGGAGCGTCGCCTGTGAGTGCATCGCAAGGAGGTCTCAGGCGGGAGCCCCCTCCCTGTGGGGCCCGCAACGCACGTTTGCAATCCGAGCGGGTCATCGGACAACCTCTAACCATCGTCACTTTTAGGGCCCTGACGCTTGATTGCGGGGTAAATACCAGGCGGGAGCCTCGTCGGTTACTGGGTTAGGAAGAAATCTCAGGCGGGAGCGTCCGCCGCATGGGGCCTACAGCTCCTGTTTGTAATACGAGCGGGTCATCGGGAATCTGGTAAAATGTCATCATGTTTGGGTCTTGGGGCCTGAGTATGGAAGAATGTTCGGGCGGGAGCTTCGTCTGTGAATGAATTGCGAGGAAGTCGGGGCCCCGTCCCTATGGGGCCCGCAGCTCACGTCTGCAATCCGAGCGGGTCATCGGACAACGTTTCGCTGTCGTCGCTTCTGGGACCCTAAGGCCCGAATTTGGAAGACAGAGTAGGCAGGAGCCTCGTCTGTTAGTGAGTTGCGAGGAAGTCTCAGGCGGGACCCCCCCTCCCTATGGGGCCCGCGACTCACGTCTGCAATCCGAGGCGGGTCATCGAAACCGTGTACCTGTCGTCTCTTTTGGGCTCCTGGGGCCTGAACTCACGTGGCAAAACTCGGGGCCGCACGCCGTGCGCCGCTCTGGGTTCACCATGACGTTGCGTCCTACCTTACCTCCGCGCTGTCGCAAGGCCAGACGCTGCGCAAGGGCGTCATCACCATCGACTGGGCGAGGGACGAGGACGCTGGCCGCACGGGCATATTAGACGACCAGTAGTGGCTGTACCTCTACGTCATGCTCTCCCGCGACACGCGCATACGGAACATGCTGATCCTGCGGCCGCCGCCGCGAGAGTTCCTGGAACGAGGACCGCCTGCATCCTTGCGGAAGGCGCTCCTGGAGCACGACATCAGAGATGACAGCTCCAGGGAAAAGGCGGAGCAGCTCGCGGCAGAGCTGGGCTTCGTGCTGCCCCCAGCCTGAGCGCGGCGGCGCCCCGCTCGAAACCCGCGGGGTTGTCCCAATGACTTGGCCTCGCGCGCCAGCGGCTTTCGGGGTAGTCCCGGCGGCCTGGCCCGCGGGGTTGTCCCAACGGCTGCGACGCAACGTGGCCATTAGAGATTGCGCCCGTGCTGGCCGAGGCAGCGACGGCGCCGAGAAAAATCGGCATGCGCGCTCACGCAATCGAAAGGAGAGGAGGTGGTGGGGGATGAAAAACAAAGAAGCGAAGAGAGGACAACGTAGGGGGCGGGAGGGGGGCCTGCGCCCGGGCGAGGAGGAGCAACAATCACAAACACAACAATGAGGCTTATTCCAAGATTCGCCGAGAGGGTTCTCATGTGGGGTCCGACCGCCAGAATATTTCTTATGCGCACAAAGCTCGCGCTCTCACATTTCAGGGCTACAGACTACCCTGGCGGCCCAAGAGGCACACAGGATGGCCCCAAGACAGCCCAAAAGGCCCCGAGGGCCTCAAGAGGACTCAAAAGGACCTCGAGATGGTTTAAGGTGGCCTCGCAGACGATTCAAAGACGGCCCCAAGACGGTCCCAAGACGGCCCCAAAAGCCTCTAAGTTCGCCGAAGATGCCTTCAAGACGGCCTGGGATGGCCTGACACCGGCCCAAGAAACCCACGAGCCGGCCCAAGAGGTCTCCAGGAGGCCCTTTGGATGAGCCCGAAGGAGCCAACATCACCGAAATCCTTTCCGCGTTCAATGATTATCGCGCTCTCGCCTCCTCGGGCTTCCCGCGGGCCAGGTCGGCACGAGAGGCTCCCAAGAAGGGCCCCCAGGCGGGCCAAGAGGGCCCCCAGGACGGCCCAAGACTTCCCCTGACCGGCCCCGAAACAACCCCAAGGCGGCCCGTGGGAAAAAACACACACTGTGGGGGGAAAAAAACGTTGGAAAAAAACATACACACACATACACACACATATACACACACACACCCTGTGGGAAACAAACACACACTGTGGGACAAAACACACACTGTGGGGGAAAACGCACGGTGGGGAAACACACACACACACACACACACGCACACACGCACACACACACACACACTGTGTGTACATGTGTGTGTATGTGTGTGCGCGTTTTTATCACAGTGTGTGTGTGTGTGTGTGTGTGTGTGTGTGTGTGTGTGTGTGTGTGTGTGTGTGTGTGTGTGTGTGTTTTGTGTGGTTTGTTGCGTGGTTTGTGTGTTTTTCCACAGAGACCTCCCACGCGGCCCTCAAGCGACCCCGCGGGGCCCCACGATGGCCGAGAGGGGCCCTCCGAGATGGCCTCCAAGAGCGCCAGACGGACCATGGGGGCCCTAAGACGGCACAAGAAGCCCCCTATCGATGTCCCCCAAGAGGCCCCGCGGCTGCCCCACAGAAGCCTGCGCGGGACGATCCCGAAGGAGACCCGAGAGGGCCCCTAAGGGGCCTCCTCCTCCTCCTCCTCCTCCTCCTCCTCCTCGTCCTCCTCCTCTTCAGCCACCTCTTCCTCCTCCTCCTCCTCCTCCTCCTCCTCCTCCTCCTCCTCCTCCTCCTCCTCCTCCCCCTCCCCCCCATCCTCCTTCTCCTCCTCCTCCTCCTTCTCCTCCTCCTCCTCCTCCTCTTCCTCCTCCTCTGTTGCACTGTTGCGCTGCTGTGTCACAAGTCCATTCTAGGAGCAGAGAGCGACAAAAAAATATGGACGGGAGGCTAAGGCGACGCTTACGGAGAAGAAGGAAGGCCGAGACGGAGGGAGGAAAGAGGGAAAGAGGATAATAATCGTCGCCGAAGCCCCAAACCCAAAACCCCGCCTAGGCTGGCCCCAGGACAGGGTGGGTTCATTGCTGCTGACAGTCGGCCTGCTGCGGGGGCCCGATGCCAGAAGCGTCTGCACTCGGCGGCGCCGTCGGGCCAGGATCAGAAGTCGCAGGGCTGCGGCGATGCACCGCCCTCTTGCGGCTCGACCCCGTGACTCCACGGCGATCCCGATATCCGCACGAGCCAGCACTCCGATCTTCGCCGTCAAGATCGGGATCACCCTGGCGAAAAGATCCAGGGGCAAAACGAAAAGGAGCTCCTCGAAGGCTTTCCTCGTACACCTCCTCCACGACCCCGCCCGACGACGCGAGGGTGGCGTCCTGGGTGCGTAGCTTCTCCGAGGGCCCCCTGTGCTCCAGGTACTGCTCCGCGAGCCGCCAGCCCGCCTCCAAGCCGTCCGCGAAGATGCGAGTCTCCGCATCGGGGCTGAGAGGCTGCCAGATGCCAGGAGCAGGCCAGCCCGAGCACTCGTCCTCCACGCCCTCGTCGATGGGGAAAACGCAGGGAGGCTGGAATCCCAGCGCCTCCGTGCCAGGCACAGCCACGTTGAGCAGCTGACCATCCAGCAACTCTGCATGGACCTCGTGGGTGTGCATCTCCCCAAGCCGAGGCCCTGCAGCAGCCCATGCCAGGTCGGCCTCAGAAGCGGCTGCGAATCCCACCGCTGGGATGCGCGCCGCGTGAAGTGCGGCATTCCGGCGCCGCTGTCGCGCCCCAGGGACCCGGCGCCCGCTGGCCGCGAGCACCAGCGCCGGCCGCGCCGCCCGCTCCCGATCTTGCCAGGAGCCTGGGCGCGCCTCTGCCTCGGCCAGCTTGCGCAGGGCGTTCTCGCAAGCTTGCCTGCGTCTCCGCCTGGCCCTTCTTCTCGCAGCCGATCTGCCCAGGGCGGCATCCTCCTGGGAGCGGAGCGAGCTAGGCCGCCACAGAAGCGAGCGGCCACCCGTAGCAGAAACCTTGGACTCCTCCGAGAGCTCCGCCATGGCCACAAGACGCGGCGAAGGGGAGATGGAGAGAGCCGCTCTCGAGCGCAGCAGCAGACGAGAGAGGCCAAGCAAGCACCTGCCTGCCTGGCGCCCAAGGCAGGCTTGAGCCAAAATGGCTACGGAAAGAGGCCCAGGGCGCGTGGACGCATCCAACGTCTACCTACGGAAAAAAATCCATTCGGATGTGTTGTGCAAGTTGCTGTGAACCAGCATCGGGGCGGCATCTTTCTGCAGCATGGTCGTCCAGACATGTGCCGAGGCCTGCCCACCCCTCGAACATACCTCTGCACTGCTGGCCTCGACGATCTGGGGATGGAGGCGAGGGCCTTCATGGTGTCACTCTCCGGGGCCCTCGCGACTCTTCCGTCCCCTTCTCCTCCTCCTCCTCTGTCCTCATCCCTCAAGCGTCCCCCCGGCCCGGCGAACACATCGTCCAATAGATAGGCCAGGCTTCGGCCCAACGTTTGGCAACATAGGCGATTCCGAAAGGCAGGGGGCGGCGGTGGCTCGCAGCAGACGCCATCGATGTGTTTCTCTATGCCATGCCGCCCGTTTGCGAAGCTTGAACGACCAAGGTGCATGTTGCAACTTCCATGTACAACATAACTCTGTTCTATCCAGTTTCTATGTAGACAAATACGCTATAAACTTATATGTAACTAGCAAAACAGACAGAGAGAGAGAGAGAAAGAGATATAACATAACAGAACCATAACGATTGAACGAGGGAGAGGGAGAGAAAGAGAGAGAGAGAGAAACAAAACAAGAGGGACAGAAGGTGGGATGGCGGAAGGCAGAGAGGGATGCAGGGCGGGAGGGGCAGAGAGGGGGACAAAGAGAGAGGGAGAGAGAGAGAGAGAGCGAGAAAAAACACAAAGAAAAACACAATACATAGGCAACAACACACCAACACATATGACACCTGACAAGCACAAGCCATGGTGATACTGACAGGGAGCAACCTGCCCCCCCCCCTGGTGGTCCGCAGGAAGAAAAAATACGAGCAGAACGGGGCGAACACATAAAGGAACCAGTAGGCGAACATCATGTTCACCTCCGCCCGGGTGGAGCCTGGACATCCGTTGGCAGTTCCATCTGGACCGCCCGTAGTCCTTCCTACCTAGCCCGTCACCATTACCCCTCATCTGTTCCTAATCCCTCTCCTCCTGTTCTCCGTCTCATCCTGCTGGCACTTTTGACGTTCCTGCTTATACTGCTCGGTGCATCTGGCACCGTCGTGCTCAACCTGCTGCCGCCAGGTGTACGACTCCGAAGCCGGGTTCCGAGGCTATCTGGCGCTGCTCCACCAGGTGCATGGCTGGCGCAGCTCCCTTCCCCATCCTTCTCATCCTGCTACTCCTTTCTGATTCCAACCCGTTCCTAGCTGCTCCTCCTCTTCCTCCACTTCTCCTCTTTCTCCACTTCCCCCTGCTTCCCTCCCCAACCTCTCCCCTCGTCCATCCCTCCCTCCCTACACACCCCCCTCGCCTGAGTTCCTTCGTCGTGCGGAGGTCATCCAGAGGTCTCTGCAGAGAGGTGTCAGAAGCCCTTGGAGGCCTCTAGAAACTCCAGAAGGGCCAGCTAAGGTACACGGAGAATGGGTACACTGGCCAACCTCGAATGTTGCCCAGGTCCGGCAGCAGCCGTTATTGAGCAGGCAGCTTGTTTTCTCAAACTGACACAGTCCGTGGCGACAGCGACAGCGAGTCCCGCTCAGAGTTGGCAGGAATCGGCTACACGCAAGAGTGATCCTGGGCAAAAAGGGACCTTTGATGCGCGGCTCCTGGGTGGCCGCGGGGGGACCAGACACAAGCGCGCAAGGCAAGACGCCACTGCAACCTCACGCTCGGCGATCGGGGGACCCCCCTGAGCCCGCACAGAAAGGTCACTCCGGCGAGGGGCCACTCTCGCGTGTGGTCGAGGGAACTGCGTCGGTCTTCGCCGCTCCAGTCCTTCACTGCCCATTGCGGCCGCACCGAGCCTCCCCTCCCCTCCCCTCCCCTCCCCTCCCGCCCCCAGCTGCCCGCACCCTCCCCTCCCCTCCCCTCCCGTCCCCTCCCCTCCCCGCCCCGCCCCTCCACTCCCCGCCCCGCCCCTCCCCAGCTGCCCGCACCCCTCGCACAAAGGCCCCCGCAGAGCAGCCCCAGAGGGGGGCACGTCGGGCGGGGACCGGCACATACGGGGGGAAAGCATCGACCTGCAGTGGGCGATGCGTCGCCGATGGATCGGCGATTGGAGGCCTCCTGGATGGGGTCGGAGCAGATGGGGTCGGAGGATCGCGCCGCATCGTAGACGAGGAAGGAGGGGACCGGGACGTGGCCTCCTCCTCCACCTCCTCCTCCCTCCTCCTCCTCCTCTCCTCCTCCTCCTCCTCCTCCTCCACCTCCTCCTCCTCCTCCTCCTCCTCCTCCTCCTCCTCCTCCTCCTCCTCCTCCTCCTCCTCCTCCTCCTCCTCCTCCTCCTCCTCCTCCTCCTCCTCCTCCTCCTCCTCCTCCTCCTCCTCCTCCTACTCCTCCTCCTCCTCCTCCTCCTCCTCCTCCTCCTCCTCCTCCTCCTCCTCCTCCTCCTCCTCTCCTCCTCCTCCTCCTCCTCCTCCTCCTCCTCCTCCTCCTCCTCCTCCTCCTCCTCCTCCTCCTCCTCCTCTCCTCCTCCTCCTCCTCCTCCTCCTCCTCCTCCTCCTCCTCCCTCCTCCCATCCCTCCTCCTCCTCCTCCTCCTCCTCCTCCTCCTTCCCTCCCCTCCCTCGTCCCTCCTCCTCCTCCCTCCTCCCTTCTCCCTCCTCCCTCCTTCCTCCTCCCTTCTCCTCCTCCTCTCCCTTCCTCCTCCTCCTCCTCCACCACCTCCTCCTCCTCCTCCTCCTCCTCCTCCTCCTCCTCCTCCTCCTCCTCCTCCTAATCCTCCTTCTCCGCCTTCACCTCCTACTTCACCTCCTCCTCCTCCTCCTCCTCCTCCTCCTCCTCCTGAGTGTCGCGCCGAAGCGTGCTGGGCCAGAAAGGAAGGAACCTCGCTATGAATCGGCGCTTGCTGTATTTATTGGGGGCGCTGGCAGGACAAAGGGATCTTTGGGCTTCCTGAGATCAGACGGCGCCAAGAAGGTGCAACATCAGATTGAATGATAGCCGGGGGGTCCTGGACTCCATGTTTGGCCGCGGCATCTCTCGTGCCAGATGGAAAAGACGAAGCCAGGACCGGTACAACAGCGGACGATGACAAAATGGCGGTTCTGCCAAATGTGGCCGGCGCCACGGCCGTTCCGGAGCGCTTGTGGCGGGACGCTCAGCGTTCTGCAACGCTCTGGGGCGATCTCTCCTCCCTGGGATCCGGGCGTTGCAGTGTCTGTTCGCAGTGGGCGCGGTCGCCCCACGCCGGGTCTGGGGACCCTCACAGCTCGATCCAGCTCGAAGAAGGGCGCTCGTGACCTTTCACGATGTCGGACCTCAGGGCTGGTCCTCGCCCCGCCCGACCGGACCCCAGGGGGGCCCGAAACGGGGCGAGTGGCGCGCCCGGCGCGTGGCGAGTGCAGCGCCCGGCGTCTCGATGGCCCCCTCCACGGCGTGCCCCGCGCCCAGGGGACCCGGGGGGGGAGCGACGCCAGGGGCCGCGCCAAAGGCGCCGCCCTGGGGCCCAGGGCTAGGTCGGGCATGTCCTCCTACAGGCGGATTTTGATAGACACATCTATCTATCTATCTATCTATCTATCTATCTATCTATCTATCTATATATCTATCTATCTATCTATCTATCTATATATCTATCTATATATCTATATATATCTATATATCTATCTATCTATCTATCTATCTATCTATCTATATATCTATATATCTATCTATCGATCTATCTATCTATCTGTATATATGCATCGATCAATATATCTATATATCTATCTATCTATATATATATGTATATGTGTATACATATGTATAAATTTGTATGCATATGTATACATATATATATGTATACATATATATATGTGTATATATAGAGATCAAATGTATGGACGACGGCCGTATCAGCTCAACTCTGGGGAAAAGCTACTCACACATGCTCATGATGGAAAAGAATGAAGAACAACAAACGACGCCTCCCAGACTGTTATTTTCTATTTTTGAATACTCCTCCTGTAGAGAGACATGCCCGAGGCTCAGCCCATGGGCGGCGGGAGGAGAACGAGCCGTGCGCTGGCGGAGAGCCCGTGGGCGGGCGCCCGCCGAACGCCTCTGTGGCCTCCGAGCCAGCGCATCAGCAGCATCATCAGCATCATCAGCATCAGCATCAGCATCAGCATCAGCATCAGCATCATCATCATCAGCATCATCATCATCAGCATCATCAGCATCATCAGCATCATCATCATCAGCACCACCAGCATCATCATCATCATCATGATCATCATCATCAGCAGCAGCATCATCATCATCAGCATCAGCATCAGCATCATCATCACCAGCAGCATCATCAGCATCATCATCATCATCATCAGCATCATCATCAGCATCAGCATCATCATCAGCATCATCATCAGCATCATCATGATCATGATCAGCATCATCATCAGCATCATCATCATCATCATCATCACCATCATCATCATCATCATCATCATCATCATCATCATCATCATCATCATCATCATCATCATCATCATCATCCACCTCCACCTTGTCCTCCACCTCCTCCACCTCCTCCTCCACCTCCTCCTCCTCCTCCTCCTCCTTGGCTCGGGGGAGCCAGCAAAAACCTCTCGCCATCTTTCTGGGGGGCGCCTCTTTTGCTGCGCTTCTGGCCTCCGCCGGCCGAGCCGCCGTCGCTTTGCGTCCGCCCGCTTCCGCCGAGGGAGAGATGGCCAGCCCTTCGACCCCGAAGGCGAGGCCCTCTCTGGAACGCCTCGTGCGGCTTGCTGGCTCTCCCGCCCGGCGCCAGCCCTGGCGGCCTCCCCTCCCACGCTCCTGCGCGCCGGCTCTCCCGGCGCAGCCCGCCAGCGGCAACGGTCGGGTGGAGATGACGCTCGAGCGCGCACCCCGCTTCAGCTCCTGCTGCCAGTGGCGCCGCTCGGCCGCGGGGGGAAGACGGCTCTCTGGCCCTCCGCCGGCCAGTCGCGCCTCCCCGCCAAGGCCTCGGGTGGCACCCGCGCGGTAGCCAGCGGCCCGGCAAGAGCCTGCCTGCCCCGCCCGCGAGCGGGGGCGTCCCAGCCGCCGCCTGCTGCAAGGCCTGCTCGCGCAGGCCACCCCTCTGCTCCCGCCGCCTCTCCTCGTCCTCGATCCCTCCTTTTTTTTGTTCGTCCTCGATCCCTCCTCCTTCCTCCCCAGCGTCTCGTCCTCCTCCCCCGCCGCAGACACCTGGCGGCCTGTGAAAGCATATGGGGCACTCCGGCACGCCCAGAGGAGAGCCCACGAGTACCAGAAGGCATCCCCGGAAGCAGCCATGCTCGGATCTCTGTCCCCCCGCTGATTCTCTATGTATAGCATCCTGGCCCCCCTTGCAACACCTGCAACTGCCTGCGTCCTTCCTCCCCTCTCCTGCTCTCCCTCCTGTTCCTATCCCCATCTGCCCAGTCATTCCAACAAACCGTGGCCAGACTTGCGGATGGGGACGTCAAATACGAGTGGGGCAGTGCACGGACCGACCCGGCTTGCATCTAGCGAGGAGGTGCACGACGCTGTGGCTAGAAAGACCTGACAGAGACGTGGTGTGCACACACTCGAGTGGCCCAGCTCGCAAAATACCAACATCTCTACAGCGCTGCACCACGCTGGCGATGAGAAGGGGGATGAGAGGAGACGAGAGGCAGAAGGAGGACTCGCCAGGCGAATGTCACCAAAAGGGCTTGCACGTCCACTTCCTCCTCATCCTGCCCCTCCACCTCCTGCTCCTTCTCCTTATCCTCCTCCTCCTCCTCCTCCTCCTCCTCCTTCTCCTCCCTTCCTGGAAGTTGCCCCTGAGTCTCTGGAGGTCTCCCGGGGATCTCTGGAGGTGCCGCAAAGCCTCTGGAGGCCTCCAAAGGCCCAGAAAGTTTGTAAAACTCAGATCGTCCTTCTCCTCCTCCTCCCCCTCCTCCTCCTCCTTCTCCTCCTCCTCCTCCTCCTCCTCCCTCTCCTCCTCATACTCATCATGTTCCTGCACCTCTGTCCATGAACCCGTCCTTCTCTGCAGGATCGCCTTGGCCCCAAGCATCGTGCCTTGGAAGGCGCCGGAGTTGAAGTTGGTTTTCCCCCTGTCCCGCCCTTCTACCCTCCTCCTTCAATCTCGCCAACGCCACTACAAGCATGTCCAAACGATGCACAGGCTGATGCTTCCTGCAACTGAACGCTCTGGTAAACCACCATGGCCAAACAACAACAGCACCAGCCAATTAATCAGCAAACTTCACTGTGGGAGGCCTCTTTCGCCTTCCTACTCCCTCATCACCCACATGATTCCTCCTCCTGCTCCTCCTGCTCTCCCTCCTCCTGCTCTCCCGCCTCCTGCTCGGCTCGTCGTCCTCCTCGTTCTCATCCTGCTCCTCCTCCTCATCATCCTCCTACACCTTTCCCTGCTCCTCCTCCTCATCATCATCAGCAGCAGCGGCATCATCATCACCACCACCGACATCACCATGATACTCATAGACATCACCATCATCGTCATCAACATCGTCATCGCCGTCATCATCGTCGTCAGCAGCCTCATCATTATCGGCATGGTCATCGGCAGTATCAGCATCAACATCACCATCACTATCATCATCACCATCATCATCATCATCATCATCATCATCATCAGCGTCGTCACCATCATTATCCTACTTAACAGCAGCATCACCACCACCAACATACTCGTCATCGTCATCATCGGGAGCATCAGCATCACATCAGCATCATCATCATCATCATCGTCATCATCAATTTCATGACAACCATCACATCACCATCATCGTCATCGTCATCGTCATCATCAGCATCTTCATCCGCATCGCCACCAATTTCATCATCATCATCATCACCATAATCATCATCAGCATCATCATCATCATCAGCGTCATCATCATCATCATCATCATCAGCATCATCATCATCATCACCATCATCATCATCGTCATCAGCATCATCATCATCACAATCATCATCACCATCATCATCAGCATCGTGAAGGGGCCAGAACGGGATCATCGGAAGAGGTTGCTGAAACGGAGAGGGGGGAGGGCGACGAGACGGGGGAGGAAGACAACTGAGCAGGAGGAGCACGAGGAGCACGAGCAGGAACCAGGGGAGGAGGGTAACAGATGCCACCCCGATCGCATCCCATGCTGAACCGCCCGCGCTCGTGTCCAGTCCTCGTTCTCCAGCACTCGTTCCTGCATTCCTCACCCCGATGCCCCCCCCCCCTACATACAAACGCACACACGCACGCACGCACACGCACACGC